GATGAAGGTGATTCCAGAGGTGATCAAGATGACGGAGACGATTCGGGAGGTGACGAAGGTGACTCTGAAGGTGATGGAGACGGTTCGGAAAGCGATGAAGGTGATACCGAAGATGATAAGAACGGTTTTCTTTCATTTTCTCAACGTGGCATTATCGAATGCTTTTGTGCTGTATCAAAGAGACCATCCAGACGACAATATAAGATATTTGCAATTTCTAGCTAATATAGCTGAAGAATTAATCGGTCGGAACACATCAGTAAAAAAGAAAAGTGGAAGACCAGTGAGCAACGTCGGTGTAAAAAAACGCAAAAAAGGTGGAAGAAAAATATCTGTTTCCCAAGAAATTCGATTTTCTAATGTTGGTACTCATCTTCCCATAGCCACATCTCGAAAAAGATGCCTTTTGCAGTACCAAAATCAAGCAGCAAAGATCTACAATAAAATGTTCAACGTGCAAAGTGGCTTTATGCGTTTCACAACAGAGAAATTGCTTCTACTTATTCCATACCAAATAGAATGCATATTCCTAGCTAACAGTAATGAACTTCTGTCGATAGTCATGGTTGTTCTGATAAGATTTGTTTTTTATTGACCTATAAAAAACTTTATTTTGTTGTTCTTTGAGTTCTAGTTATTTCTCAGCATAAGACGTGTTCTTATTCTTCATGTAAAGCCGCATCGCTTTTGTTATATAAAAGTATGTCGAATTAGACTTTCACTTTACTCGTGACATAAAATCGAACGTATCAAAAGAATAGAACTGATTTATTTTTCTAACGTTAGTGAATTTTATATAAGGTACTTCACTTTATTGCAGTAAATGGGGCGATCATACGTCAAATAATCGGTGTTATTGACCCCTTCCTCGCGCGTTGTTATATGGACCAAAACCGACCAGAGTGGGCTACTAATATCGATATAAAACAACTTTCCAAAAGTTGGCCGTCAAAGGGTTAATCAAGAATAAAATTTCTTCACGTCGTTAGCTTAACCGGAGCATTTAAAACGGCGGAATTTTGTATTAAAAAATATTGAAAACTATAATAAGCAAAATAGTTTCATGGTTTTCTTTATAATTGTAAGCAAAAATATAAAAGTGTTTATTTTGATTTCAGAAATATCAAAAAGAATTAGAGAAATATATAATAAAAAAGCGCACGGAATATAGAAACCTTTGATTTTTCTACTTTATAAACGTACAAGTTTTCGACAATAAAGAGGCTGATCCAAAACGTTTTTTGTAATAAGGTGCACGAAACGCAGAAATAGAGCGAAATTTATTTTTCGTCTTTTCATACACCGTTGGATAGAGGAGTTCAAGGCGGGCAAGAATGTACGTGGCTTGATTTTTTTTGGCCGTTTTTTAGGTTCGAACAGTTAAAAAAACTAGCAGGCTGTAAAAAGCGAAAAAACGACGATGTTCGAAAAAGTTAGATTTTTCTACTTGGGTTTTTAGTCCGAACGTTGAAACTGTTTTTTCTTATTCAGCGTTAAAAGCTGAATTGAAAAATGATATTAAATCCATTTCGAAGGTAAACGTCTGTCCGCCATGGACGTTCGAATGGACTATTAGAAAAGAAGAGTGAGACATTTTGTTAAACTTTGACTCAATTCGGTCTGTTTGGAATGAGTTAAGCTGTGACTTCGAAACATGGTTCGTTGTCGAAACATCGTTGTTGCCAAAATACAAATCATTTTTTGAAAAATATGAAAAAAAACTGTTGCATGTCCAGACGTCATCAAGTAAGTACTGGGTCTATTTTGAACCAAGATGAAACAATGCAAAGCTTGTGTTAGCAGAGATTTTCTGGACTTAGGAGGATCGACGAGGGAGTGCCATCAAAAGTTCACTGGTGGATGAAGCGGCGACGGAGCAGGAAACGTATGGTTCGAGCTCCGCGTAGCATATTTATCGAAACTTGGCGAGGTACGAGTTGATCGGAAGTTTGCGAGGCGATCCCCGCAAGGGAGCTACCCCATCGCCCACTTCTGAGATCCAAAGAGATTCGGAAGAAACAGGACATTGGAAGTATAACTCAAAACACCAAGGGTTGTTTGCTGCCCTAGGCTTAATTATGATATCCCGTCCTCGCTTCTGGTTTATCCTTTATTTCCACAATAAACTTTAGAAAGTACCGTCAGAATCATTTTTCTGTCATTATAAGTTTACGCCAATTATTATCATTCAGAAGATCTATAGCCGTACCAGCTCTGTATCCACCAACACCCCGAGACAAATACCAGCTCAGACGTTTATCGCCATCCGTACTTGCTGTATCTGCATTATATGGATTTACTATCGGTGATGGTGAAAATCCAAATGCCTTATTAGAAGCGAGATACCAATAGACATTGCTATAATGCATGGATCCATTAACATGAGTTTCAAGCTGTAAAATACTAGACGGGCCAATAGCAGCTAATGCCAGAACAGTTGAAGATGATCCATTTATAGCACCAACCAATATTCGTTTATCAATACATTTTATGTACAACTGACGTAATTCCTCAGTTGTTGTTATCCAACTGTACGGATGATCATATATAATATACCAATTCTTTTCTAATGACGACAGTGGTATATTCTGAAGAATTTGATTCAACGGAGGACATATTAATTTATGTTCATGTAAGATCGTTTCAAGGTTTTCAACCATTTTTTCCAATTTTTCAATTTTTCCTCTACTTGATTGAGCATTTCTCTCAGCTATATCTAGTCGAATGCTCAAACATTCTACGAGCTCATGTTTATCATGTTGTTTGTAGATGTATTTGCATTTTATACATTCCACTTTAACTTCTGCACAGACTAATTCATGTTTAGTCAGATCTTTTTTCAGCACTAGATCTGAACAACCTTGGCATTTTAACTGTTGATACTGGCAATTTTTTTCATGTTTTTCAATTGAATCATACAGATGAACGTCGGCACAACCATTTCCAATAAATTTACATTTAATATTTAGTTTTGACAGTAGAGCATTGATCATTGGTGGACAACGTTTTTCTTCAAACTGTGGACATCGAAATGGACAAGATGAATTGTTATTTGTCCACTGTTGAATACATGAGGTACAAAACACATTATCACAGTTTTTACAAGCAATTGGTTTCCATATGAGATTGTGGCAGATAGAACATAAATATTCATCTTCTACCTTACCCTGCACACGTTCAGTACAAATGTTGCCACTACTACTTGCCATTGACAAGATCTCAATGAACCGGATTGCTTAATGTTTAATGTTTTTATTTTTCTCGATGGTGTGTCAACTAAACAAATATTCACATGCTTCTGAAAAGAAAATATATTCTTTTTTTCTTACTTCTACTGATCAAACACCTTAAAGAAATTGTATGTACTATTTATTTATAATGTTTTTTCCGCACTGTTCTGGTTATTCAAAGGAAAAGTAAAAAGACATAATAAGCTGATTAGAACGATATGTGACTCAGCTTAAAAAATATGTATATGTATTTTAACAGTATTAAAGGAAAAAACAGGAAATAATATTTAGCCATGTGAATGTTGTGATACAATATTTAACCGCTGTTTACTACGTAAAAAACATTATTAACACATCTTGGTTAAAATTACAAATTTTTTGTATAACACAAACATATTACAGTGACGATGTTGTTATTGAATTCAATGTTCCACCATTATTATTATGTTCCGATCGATGCTCGTAACTAATGTAACAACGTTCAATTTCCATAAAAAATGCAATAAGTTTGACTGCTGAGTTGGCAGAACCACAAGTTTTTGTCTCTTTTCTAATAAACGTTATTCAGAAAACAACTGAGTACGGTGTATTTCGAAAAACGGATAGTAGTGCAGGTCACCATCCCGGTCAGGTAACGATCGTGACTACTGATACAGTTCGCAACTAGACAAGCTTTTAGGAAATTCATAAGAACCACCTGTTACTAGTACTTTTCCACATGATAATAAAGTTGCAGTGTGGAAACTGCGGGCTGATGACATGTTACCGGCTGTACTCCACCTATTCGATGTGGGATCGTACAGTTCGCAACTAGTCAGGCGTGTCGATGAATCATAGCCACCCGTTACTAGTACTTTTCCACATGATAGCAAAGTTGCACTGTGGTTATATCGGGCTGATGACATGTTACCGGCTGTACTCCACCTATTCGATGTTGGATCGTACAGTTCGCAGCTAGACAAGATTTTCGATGAATCATCACCACCTGTTACTAGTACTTTTCTACATGATAGCAAAGTTGCACTGTGGCGGTATCGGACTGATGCCATGCTACCTGCTGTACTCCACCTATTCGATGTTGGATCGTACAGTTCGCAACTAGTCAGGCGTGTCGATGAATCATAGCCACCCGTTACTAGTACTTTTCCACATGATAGCAAAGTTGCACTGTGGTTATATCGGGCTGATGACATGTTACCGGCTGTAC